ATTGTTGCTCTCAGTGTCTGTACTACTGGGGATTTAGGAAGTGATCTCCTGTGCCATTGCATTGAAGGCTACTTCCCACTTTCTCTTCTATCAGGATTATTGTAGTCAGATTTATATTAAGGTCTTTAATCCATTTGGACTTGAGTTTAGTGCATGACTATAGATATGGATCTATTTTTATTCTTCTACATGGTGGCATCCAGTTATGCCAGCACCACTTGTTGAAGATGCTTCATTTTTTCCATTGTATAATTTTAGCATTTTATTGAAAATAAGGTGTTAATAGGTGTGGATTAATTTCCAGGTCTTTGATTCTGTTCCATTAGTCAACCTCTCTGTTTTTATACCAATACCAAGCTGTTTTCATTACTGTATCTCTATAATAGAGCTTGATGTCAGGAATGGTGATGCCTCCGGAAATTCTTTTATTGTACAGGATTGTTTTGGTTATCCTGGGTTTTTTGTTTTTCCATATGAAGTTGAGTATTGTTCTTTCAAGGTCTGTGAAGCATAGTGTTGAGATTTTGTTGGGACTTGCATTGAATCTATAGATTGTTTTCGGTAGGAGTGCCATTTTTATTATGTTGATCCTACCTATCCAAGAACATGGGGGATCTTTCCATTTTCTGGTATCTTCTTCAATTTTTTTTCTCCAAAAACTTAAAGTTCTTGTTGAATAGGTCTTTCACTTCTTTGGTTAGTGTTGCCCCATGATATTTTATGTTATTTGTGGCTATTGTGAAAGGTGATGTTTCTATGATTTCTTTCTCAGCTTCTTTATCATTTGTATATAGGAGGGCTACTGATTTTTTGAGTTAATCTTGTATCCTGTCACAACACTGAAGGTATTTATCAGCTGTAGGAGTTCCCTGGTAGAGTTTTTGGGATCACTTATATATACTACTATATTATCTGCAAATAATGAAAGTTTGACTTCTTCCTTTCCGATTTGAATCTCCTTGATCTCCTTTTGTTGTCTTATTGCTATAGCACAACTTCAAGAGCTATTTTAAAAAGATATGGAGAGAGTGGACAGCCTTGTCTTGTTTCTGATTTTAGTGGAATCACTTTGAGTTTCTCTCCATTTAATTTGTTGTTGGCTGTCAGCTTGCTGTATATTGCTTTTATTATGTTTTGATATGCTCCTTGTATCCTTGATCTCTCCAAGACCTTTATCATGAACGGGTATTGGATTTTGTCAAATGCTTTTAAGCATATAATGAGATCATCATATGTTTTTTCTTTCAATTTATTTATATGGTAGATTACATTGATAGATTTTCATATATTGAACCTTCCCTGCATCTGTAGCATGAAGCTGATTAAAATCATGGTGAATGATTTTCTTGATGTGGTTTTGGATTCAGTTTGCCAGTATTTTATTGAGTATTTTTGCATCTATGTTCATGACTGAGATTCATCTGTAATTCTCTTTCTTGGTTGAGTCTTTGTGTGGTTTTGGTGTCAGGGTAACTGTAGCTTCATGAAAAGAATCTGGCAATGTTCCTTCTTAGTCTATGTCTTTTTATAGGTGAATTGAGCCCATTGATATTAAGAGATATTAATGACCAATGGTTGTTAATTCCTGTTATTTTTTGGTGGTAGTAGTTGTGTGTTTTCTTTTTTTTTAGTTTTGCTGGTTTGAGGTAATTTTTTGCCTTTTTTGTGGTTGCAGTTAGCTTACTTGGGTTGGGGTTTTTCTTCTAGCACTTTCTGTAGGGCTGGGTTTGTGGAAATGTATTGTTTAAATCTGATTTTGTCATGGAATATCTTGTTTTCTACATTGATAGTGATAGAAAGTTTTGCTGGTTATAGTAGTCTGGGCTTGCATTCATGGCTTCTTATTGTCTGCAGCACATCTGCACAGGACCTTCTGCCTTTCATAGTGGGAAGTCAGGTGTAACACCTTTATATGTTACTTGACCTTTTCCCTTTACAGTTATTAATAGTCTTTCTTAATTCTGAATGTTTTCTGTTTTGATTATTATATGGTAATGCGGCTTTTTTTCATCTAGTCTATTTGGTGTTCTATAAGCTTCTTGTACCTTCATAGGGATATCCTTTAGTCTGGGAAAGTTTTCTTCTATGATTTTGTTGAATATATTTTCTGTGCCTTTGAGCTGGAGTTCTCTTCCTTTTTCTATCCCTATGATTCTTTGGTATGGTATTTTCATGGTGTCCCAGATTTCCTGGATGTTTTGTGGTTAAGAATTTGTTTGATTTAATGTTTTCTTTGACCAACGAATCGATTTCTTCTATAGCATCTTCAACACCTGAGATTATCTCTTCCATCTGTTGGTTATTCTTGCCTCTGTAGTTCCTGTTCCTTTATCTAGATTTTCCATATCCAGATTTCCTTTGGTTTGTGGTTTGTTTGTTTGTTTTTGCCTCTATTTCATCTCAAGTCTTGAATTGTTTGTTTTGCCTGTTTGATTGATTTTCTTGGTTTTCTTGGTTGTCTTTGAGAGATTTATTAATTTCTCCCAATTTTTTTTTGTTTTTCTTCTCCTCTATTTCAGTAGGGGAGTTTTTCATTTCCTCTTTAAAGGTCTCCATCATCTTCATAAAGTTATGGTTAAGATCATTTTCTTCTGCTTCTTCTGGGTTAGGATGATCAAGTCTTCCTGTTGTGTAATCAGTGGGTTCTGGTGTTATCACAGTGCTTTTAAGTTGTTGGATGAATACTTGCATTGGCTTCTATCCATCTCTTCCATCAATTGATGCCGGCAGTGTCTTTGCATCTTGGTCCAATCCTTGCAGTGGCTGGATGTCTGTGTCTTTGGGAACTGTTCTTGGTCTGCTCTGTACTGTCAATGTCTGTGTCTCAGGGAGCCACTGAGGTCTGTCTTAGTCTGCTCTCTTGGTCTACTCTTCTTACTTGATACCTGTTTTGTTATATGTAATTTTACTATGTTAAAGTTAAAATTTTCCCTTTTATTTAGACAGATAAAGGGAGGTGACGTGGAATTCCCCTCTGTGTGCTGTAAATATCATGGGTTAATGAAGAAGCTGTTTGGGGCCTGTAATAGGGTAGAGCAGAGCTAGGTGGGGAAAACTTAACTGAATGCTGGGAGAAAGAAGGCAGAGTCAGAGAAAAGTCATGTAGCCTTACTGGAGACAGACATTGATAAACCACAGCCACGTGGCAATATACATATTAATAGAAATGGGTTAAATTAAGATGTAAGAGTTAGCCAGTAAGAAGATACAGCTTATGGACCAAGCAGTGATTTCATCAATACAGTTTCTGTGTGGTTATTATGGTTCTGGGCAGCCAGGAATGGAACAAGCAGCCTTCTATGACATAAGAAAGCTACTGAGGGTTGACACTGATGGGAAAGAAGATAGAGTGAAGAGGACACTGTGAGAAAGAGTGGATGAGTAGACTATTAAAAGTTATGCGGGTCAGCAGGAATTTTCTGCAGTCTTCTTCACCTGGTGAAGCTTTGGGTACAGTGGGTACAAAAAGTAAACATATAGTTTAATTTAATCAGAGCAATGATTTTCTTAAGCAAAACTCAAAGACAGAAGAGGGACAAGAAATTAAGTATGGAAAAATCTATCTTCTGAGTCCGGTAATTTCTTAGCAGTCACTTTGATGTAATAAACTTTTCTTCATGATGCTGGACAATCTGTGAGGCTTTTTTTTAGAGTTAAGTTTTATTCATTCTAAACACTGAATATTTTCCCACATTTATTCTAAACATTAAGGTTCTCACAAATGAAAAAGTTATTGAGTATAGTAGAAACTGTGGATGCTAAAAGATTTTTCATATTGATTGTTATACATATAAAGTCTGTCTCCAGAGTGAATTCTTTAGAACATCATGGCAACAAGAACAATACCTAAGTGAATATAAGCATTAAAATTCTTTCCAGGGTAATTCTGTGCATGAGGGTTACAGAAACTGGATGTACAGAAGACTTTCACATTACAGACACTGTGTGAGATCTCTCTACTTGTTAAAATGGCAAGAACAAAGAAATGGTTATATACAATGTTTACATACAAAAAGTTTCTATCCAATGTGAATGTTTCTACTCTTATACCAAGTGAATCTAGTAAAGACTTTCTGACAATGATTACATGCATTACTTGCTGACTAGTATGAAGTGTTTCAGATCTGTTATGATCACAAGAGCTGCTGAAGGCTTTTCCACAATTCTTCTGTATATAAGGCTTTACTTTCAAGTGAACAATTTTATGCTTGTTAAGGTCAATAGAGTGAACAGTTTCCACATCTTTTACACACAAAGGGTTTTCCTCCAGTGTAATTTTTTTCATGCAAATCAGGAGAAGTTGAAGTGTTGAAAGTTTTCCTGTAATGTTTACATGCAAAAGCCTTCTCTCCAGTTTGAACCCTTTCATGAATGTTCAGATGACACTGTGGAGTTTTCCACAATGTGTACATGCATAACACTTCTCTTTAGTATGATCTCTTTCTTGAACCTTACGGATATAAGTTGGTGAAGTGTTTTACACAATGCTTACATGAATAAGGCTTCAATAAAGTGTGACTTCATTCATGTCAGTTATGACTACTGAGGTCACTGAAGGCTTTTCCAAGATGGCTACATGCTCAAGACCTTTCTCTCGTGTGACTGTCTTTTCATGAATGTTCAGGTGATTGGAGCAGGTAAAGACTTTTTCACAATGCTTAAATGTACAAGAATTCTCTTTAATATGAACTCTTTTAATGAGTCTTACAGGAACTGAAATTATTGAAGGCTCTTTTACAATGCCAACATGAATAAGGTTTCTCTGCAGTGTGACTCCTTCCATGTCTGTTACAATTACTGGGATTGTTGAGTGATTTCCCACAATGCTTACATACATAAGGTTTTTATCAGTGTGAATTATTTTATGGATGTTCAGATGACGACGCCAGAAAAAGGTTTTTCCACAATGCTTGCATGTATAAATCTTTTGCTTCTCTGTAGTGTGGCTCCTTTCATGTCTGTTACACCTACGGGGGTTCTTGAAGGCTTTTCCACAAAGCTCATGCATAAGGTTTCTCTGCAGTGTGACTCTTTTCATGTCTGTTACAGTTACTGGGGTGCTTGAAGGCTTTCCCACAATGCTTACATTCATAAGGCTTTTTTCCAGTATGAATTATTTTATGGATATTCAGATGCCTGGGACAGAAAAAGGCTTTTACACAACGCTTGCATGTGTAACACCTCTCTGCCGTGTGCTTTCTTTCATGAATGCTACAAGCACTGGAAGTAGTGAATGCTTTCCCACAATGCTTACATGCATAAGGTTTCTCTCCAGTGTGAATTCTTTCATGAATGTTTCGATGAGAAGAACGGGTGAAGTTTTTTCCACAGTGCTTACATGCATAAGGTTTCTCTGCAGTGTGGCTCCTTTCATGTCTGTTACGACTACTGGGGTGGTTGAAGGCTATTCCACAATGCTTACAAGCATAAGGCTTTTCTCCAGTGTGAATTATTTCATGGATATTCAGATGACTGGAACAAAAAAAGGCTTTTCCACAATGCTTACATGTATAAGGTTTCTCTGCAGTGTGGCTCCTTTCATGTCTGTTATGACTACTGGGATTGTTGAAGGTTTTTCCACAATGCTTACATGCATAAGCTTTCTCTCCAGTGTGAATTCTTTCGTGAATGTTTCGATAAGAAGAACGAGTGAAGTTTTTTCCACAATGTTTGCAGACATAAGGCTTTTGTCCAGTGTAACTGCTTTCATGACTGTCATTTTGACTAAATGGGGTGAAGGCTTTTCCAAAATGTATAGAAGCATGTGGCTTCTCTCTTTTGTGAGCTACTTTTTGTTTCTCAAAACATGTTGCATATTTAAATATTTTGCCACACTGCCTACAAATGTACCTTTTCTCTTCAACATGACTTTTTTCATGGTTGGTAATGTCACTGGAATCAATGAAGGATTCTTCACAGAGACTACATACAAATTGTTTCACTTCTTTATGGGTTCCTTCATCATTCTGGCCATATATGTATCTCATTAAGATATTCTCATTGAGTTTATATTCAGTGTGAGTTCTCTCCTGAGGCTGATCAAAACAGAGACTCCTACAGGCTTCATTACATTGTTGATTTTTACAGGGTTTCTCTTTAGGAGAAGTTTCAAGTACCTGAAGTGGTTTAGAATAACTGATATTTTCCCAATGTTTCTGATGTGTAAAAGCTTTGACCACAACTTCCTTATACAGTGATGGTTTCTCTCTAGTTTTTTCTCTGAGATACTCATGTAAGGATAAATGACCAATACTGCTTCTTACATGCAATGGAGTTTCATGAGTTCTTACTCTGGAAGGCATGTCTTTATTGATCATACTCTCTGGAATAGGTTGCTGGGTTTTATCACACTCAGTACAACATTCATATCCATGGTCTTTCTCAATCGACTGAATTCCCATATTCCTGCTGAGATCTTTAAAGTCCTCTTCAATATTTTCTTCTAGTGCTTTTTCTATGGAGACCAGGTTCAAAAATGTTTCCTTCATCACATCTCTGTAGAGCTTCTTTTGACTAGAATCCAACACAGCCCACTCTTCTGAGGTGAAATTCACTGCTACCTCCTCAAAGTTTACTGGCTCCATTTCTGATGTGTCTCAGTAGCCTCCCAAGAGGCCTGCAGTCAGCAGAACACACAGCGCCTAAAATAAATCCTCGCCAATCTGTGAGTTTTTTTCAAAGTGGAATTTCATGTTCATTATTTTTGAAAAGTTCTTTTGGTTTATTTATTTCAAAATTTATACCCTATGCTTTATTTCTGATTATGTTACAAAAGTCCTATTAGTTGATCTAAGTTTCTTATTTCCTTCTTGCTTGTCTCCATTTTTTTTTCGGGGAAATTTCCCAAAATTTATCTTCCAACTCCTCTGCTGAAATTTTTTGTCTTTACTGTTCCACTTAACTTTTATGATCTTGTTTCCAGTTCTGCCAGATATCATATTTTGACCTCATGTATGGCATCAGTGCCCTATATTAGTCTATGAGAAGTTTAACTATGTGTGCTGGAAGAGGGTTTTCTTCTTTCCATGCTCTGTCTCTGTGCCTTGTTCCTCTGGGTGGAAATGGGTTTTCTTTTCTCTGTGCTCTGTCTCTGTGCCTTGTTTCTCTGGGTGCCCCCCCTTTTTACTTTGTCTTTGCTCCCATTTGTCATGTTAAAAGATTCCTTCACATCTCTAGTGGCTGATAATCTGTTCAAATGAGCTTAATGATATGTGGATTCCTCTAAGGATGATCTGCCAGAGACATGAGTTGTAGGGCTTTCAACACAGACATCTTCTCTTGTCCCGATACACTTCCCTAGGGGGACACATTCCATATCCCATCTGAGAGTGTTTGCCAAGTCTCTATTTATGTGGTATTCTGAAAGCCAAGAAGAGGGAAAGGAACAGAGAGGTTTACAATGTTCTCTAATATCACATGACCATGTCTTCCCTTACTTCAATTATGCTTTGTGTCTCCAAGTTACCTGACTTAAAATTCCTAGCAGCCTCCTTATTGCTTTTATCTAAATTTATATCGAACAATTCTACCAATAAATCATCAGTAATCAGAGGCTGGGGTGAAAACGTGCTCGCTCAGAGAAGTTGAGGAGCAGCTAGTTGGTCTTCCTTCTTAACCAGCTTCTCTGGAGAGTTTTTTCCATCCTTCCAATCCAAAAGGAACAATCAAACTCTCCTTCCCTTCCTTTCTGTGCATTTCTCTGTCTTCCTGACTCCCTCTTTACCCTCTATGACTACTTCCTGTCAAATAGCTGCTGGCTCTGACTTCTGACCACAGCCTTTTATTTAATTAACACATTGTCAATGTTCACAGTGTGATCAAATATCCTGTAATATTTCCTCCTTTTTGGCTCAATAAAACATGATGGTTTTAACCTTAACACAGTGAAACTATATACAATAAGAACAATTATCAGATGAGAATTACATTTACAATGTTGGGTCCATTTGTATGTGCTGAATTTGGTAACAAGAAAAACTGTAAAACTCTTAACTACTTGGTCTTCACCTAATCAGAGTCCTGAAAATGAGTAAACAGAAAGGGCAGAACAATCAGCTTCAAAAAGCATAGAAACAACAGAGACATCTGCTGCCTGGACAATCACTAAGGTGCCTCATTGGAGCATCAATCCTGGGCCTATAGGCCCCGAATATCTGACAAACCTTTCTGTGGAGCAGGGATTTTGAAGGACTGGCTTATCTTGGCAGGTGACATCCTTTGTGACCTGCTTGTCCAATTTGGACAGCATACTGTCAGCAGTCGAGACAAGGGCAGTTTCTTGCCCAGTGGATAGCTTTGCCACATTTGAAGCAAGCTCCATATGAAGGCTCTTTGATGTTCATCATTTTTTTAAAATAGATTGTTGCTGCCAGGGGCAGATATGGCTCACTCTCATAAAAAGTCAGGGAGGGGAGCAGAGAAAAATGTAGAGCTCAATAAAAATCAATAGAAAAGATGAAAAAAAGTCTTATGTTATTAAAACATTTTAAATGCCATATTATGCAGATTTCAAGAACTGTTTGAAGACCACCTATCTAAAATACATGAGGCTAAATAAAGCTTATTTCTGTCTACATCTAAACATTTAGTACAAGTTTGATTGTTACCTTAGTTATCCTAAACAAACTTTATATTACAATTTTAAATGAGTTGCATAGGTACAATATCTTACAGTATGTTGTAAAATAACCTTAAATTTGTATCAATGTACAAAACCCCGTACCAATGCACAATGCTTGAAACAAGTAGTTGTTTTTCAGTGTAAACGTAGATTCAATAATCAATCCTTTTATCCTATCGTTTGTTTTTCTGAGAGAGTTTGAGTATAGAGTTTATTCAGTGAGTTATGGAAGGGAAAGGGAAGGGGGAGCAGGGCACACACACACACACACACACACAGAGAGAGAGAGAGAGAGAGAGAGAGAGAGAGAGAGAGAGAGAGAGAAGGAATGGGGAGAAGAGAGGCAGCAGCCATCTCTTCTGAAGAGGGACAGGCAGTATCCTATCATTTCCACATCCCCACCCGCACCATTTTTAAAGATAAAAGAGAAAGGATAGAGGAATTGAAAAGAAAGAAAAAACTCCCTTAATCTAGCCTCCTTTGTTTGGTTACCTCCTTGATCATGACCAATAACAACTTGCAACCAACCCCCTAAACAATGACCAACATCCATAACCCACCAAATGATCAAAAGTCACCCATCCCACCTCTCACGAATGTGGGCAGTGTTCCTTTTTTCAGTATTTAAAGTGTCATCTTTAATATCTGATTAGTGAGCATTAAGCTTCAACTCAGTGTTGGACTGAGCATTTAACATTGTTATTATCCCCATTTGATAGATATGGAATCTGTGATGCAGAAGGTCAGGTAGCTTTGGCAAGGGTCCTGTAGAGACGTGGAGATAGTTGGGAATGCCATTCGGTCTTCTGAGTGCACAGCCTCAAGAGTGGGCTGGGTCAGGCCAACTGACATTTTCCAGGGAGTTGGTTCCAAGGGCTTGCCTTGCTCTTCCCTGGATCAGTGACAATTGGGAGACATGGGTTCTAGTGTGGACACTCCCAATTTGGGATGTGAATCTACACAAGTCCCTTCCTTATTTAAGTCTTGGTGACTTCACTCCTTAAACAGGAAGCTAAACAAGAATGTGAGTCCAGCATTCCACCCTCTTTAATGTTCTAGGCTTTCCCCTACCTTGGGATGTCTCTGGGACAAGACATGCCCTCATTTTCTTCCATCTTCTGCCAGTCTGTCATCATCACTGATCTTTTTTGTTTTTAATTGAGCTATATATTTTTCCATGCTCCCCATCCTTCCTCTCCCCTCCCCTTCAACCCTCCTCCATGGTCCCTATGCTTCCAATTTACTCAGGAGATCCTGTATTTTTCTACTTCCCTTGTAGATTAGATCCATGTATATCTCTCTTAGGGTCCTCTTTGTTGTCTAGGTTCTCTGGGATTGTGAATTATAGGCTGGGTTTCTTTTTTTTTTTGCTTTATGCCTAAAAGCCACTTATGAGTGAGTACATATATTTGTCTTTCTGGGTCTGGGTTACCTCTCTCAGTATGATGTTTTCTAGATCCATTTATTTGCCCACAAATTTCAAGATGCCATTACTTTTTTCTGTTGTGTAGTACTCCATTGTGTAAGTGTATCACATTTTCCTTATCCATTCTTCAATCAAGGGGCATTTAGGTTGGTTCCAGGTTCTGGCTATGACTAACAATGGTGCTATGAACACAGTTGAACACCTTTGGGTATATACCCATAAGGGGTACTGCTCGGTCTTGAGGTATGTTGTTTCCTAATTTTCTGAGAAATCACCATACTGATATCCAAAGGAGCTGTACAAGTTTGTACTCCCAACCACAATGGAGGAGTGTTCCCTTTACCCCACATTCTCTCCAGCATAAGTTGTCATCAGTGTTATTGATCTTGGCCATTCTTATAGTTGTAAAATTGAATCTCAGAGCTGTTTTGATTTGCATTTCTCTGATGACTAAGGATGTTGAGCATTTCCTTAAGTGTCTTTCAGCCATTTTAGATTCTTTTGTTGAAAATTTTCTGTTTAGGTCTGTACCCCATTTTTTTTATTGGATTATTTGTTCTTTTGATGACCAATTTCTTGAGTTCTTTGTATATTTTGGAGATTAGCCTCTGTCTGATGTGGGGTTGGTGAAGATCTTTTCTCATCCTGTAGGTTGTTATTTTGCCTTGCTGACCATGTCCTTTGCTTTACAGAGGATTCTCAGTTTCAGGAGGCCCCATTTATTGTTTCTTTCAGTGTCTATGCTACTACTTAGGAAGTGGTCTCCTGTGCCAGTGCATTCAAGTGTACTTTCCACTTTCTCTTCTATGAGATTCAGTGTGGTTGTTCAAGTCTTGCTGTTGTAGGGCCACTAGTTTTTATTGGTGTCATGTTGCTCTTTGTGGTATTGAGTGTGTTCTTACCTTGTCTATCTTCTCCTCTAATTGACGTAGTTGGGGCCATGCCTCTGGTGATCAATCTTCTAGGTGCCAGTGGATCCAAGGCTTTGATGGTTGCTCCTTATGGTGCAGGCAGGGCCATGGTTCCAGTCACCCCAGAGGTTACTCGGTGTTCCTGAAGGTAGCTCAGCACTCCCAGGGGTCACTCTGCAATCCCTGAGGATCTTTTTGGGTCTGTTACCACAGAGGTTGCTTGCTTGTGCCTGCTCCCTCAGATGTCATTGATTCACGTTCGTCCTGCCAAAGTCTCTGTCTGAAGCCTGTTCCCTTAGTGGTGGCTCCCATGTATCTTTTCCTGTTGCCTTGGGCCTGCTCTGGCTTAAGCCTGCTCCTGTGGAGGTTGCTGCCTTGGGCCTGCTCTGGCTGAAGTCACTGACTCATGTCTGTTTCCACAGATGTTCCTGTCTTGGGCCTGTTCCCATGGAGGTTCCTGGCTTGGGCCCAATCCCACAGAAGTCTCTGGCTTGGGCCTATTCCCTTGGAGGTCCCTGACTCACATCTGGTCCCTCAGAGGTCTCTGGCTCAGGCCTTCTCCCTTGATGGTCACTCACTTGCACCTGCTCCTAATAAATAAAGGGTAATTTTGACATAGAAATAGGT